GACTGTGAGAAGTGCAGAGCAAAGGAATAAGAAGAATAAGCAAAGCAAGGTTCCAGTTGGAGCTGTCGAGCGAACTTCAATCCAAGGTAAGGGTGGGGTTCTGACCTTATAATGGGACTATTTATTAATATTGTGTAGGGTTTGGTCGTAGGTATAGTTGTTGTGCGTTGATTGTTCTGGACCTGTTCTTGAAAGTTGTCCGTTATCATTTGTGGTCGTTTAGGAATCTTAAGTATGACTGTCTTGTACAATTGATGAATCTGGAAATAGGATATGTAGTTTCTCATTGCTATGTTATTCCGTGCGGTTGGTTGAAATTAATGGTCGATGAGAATAGTGTAAGGTTGGGATAATGTTCGTCATAGACTGGACGAAATTTATGCAAAAACGTGAAGACGCGTCGTGCTGAGGAGCACAGGTAATTGCGTCCAGCGGTATAAGACTGTAAAATGTGTCGAGGCGCACAAGTTCCAGGTGTCGAGCGACATGAGGCTGTAAGGTACGTCGAGGAGAATAGGTACTTGTGTCGAGCGGTACAAGGTTGTGTGACGTGCCAGGAAGTATGGTGTGTATTGGCTGATACAGAGGCATGAAGGAAAGGTACCGAGCGGCACGACCACTATGTCGAGGGGTACATGTCGTTGTTAAGGTCCATATTGTTATTCCCATGCAGGATATTTTAGTTATTTAAATTAGTTTAAGAATCTCAGCATAATAATTAGGATTCTTAAGGTATTCAATCCCTATTAGATTAATGAAATCTAGTAGAAATAAGTTAGTAGCAGGAGAGATACTATAATTAATAAGTGACTAGCAATATATAGTCGAATTACCCGAATAATTACGCAGGACATCATAGTATAATTTGGTTGATACAGTGTATTGTATACTTGTTGTAATTTGAGAATTTGCTGGTAATATGGAATTTTGTTGAGATGCCTCTAATTATTGGCATATATTAAGTTGTAGGCTTATGGCTAATGTTGAATTGTGTTAAGTTGTTGTTGAATTATTATTGTTGTTGTTACTACATTCATGTTGTTGTTGCATATATAGCATATTAAGTTGGGAGCTCATGCTCGATAAGTTGGCATGGATTGGCAAATATAAAGTTGAAGGCTTATGCCTTGTTGATGCCTCTATTAATTGGTTGATTATTAAGTTGGGAGTTTTGCTCCCTTGGTACCACATGTATTTGCATAAAAACAAGTCGCATTTCATGTTGCATCATGAGTTATTGTATGGATGAATTAATTATGTTAAATGTTGTTAAAGAGTTGTGAAGTGATGACTTTGTATGAACTGATTCTAATATATTATTTATCATGCATTATATTATATTGTTCGATATCTCACCCCTTCAGTTTGAATGTTGCCCTATGTCGGTAACATGCAGGTAATCCAGAGTGAAGGTTGTTTACCTTCAGTGGTTTGAGTCGGTGTTGTCACTCTGATACGTAACACTCGAGGGGATGAACACTTATTGCTTTATTGTTGATTTACTTCCATTGCTGAATTTTAAGTTGTTTTTAGTTGGACAAAGATGTTATGTCATTTGAGTTAAAAATTGTGATTCCGATGCTTATTTATAAAGTTGTTCTATTTGTAAAGATTAAACAGGTTGTTATCGGTTTATCCGAATTTTATGTGTTATGTATCTGAACTATAGGCGATTGAATGTCGTTGTTTCCAAGTTGAAAGTGTAGCATTCCATTTGTTTGTTAGAAATTTTGTAACTCTGATTTTATAAAATTAATTGGATAAAAATGGGGTGTTACAGAAAAGGTCAGTAATAACACTCCTAAAGCTTGTGATAGACTCAAAGAGTGCAGGAGGCTATTTGATATAGGCAAGAGGTGAAGGATCACCTGAAGATGACCAAGATTGTATTTCTCTCATGGCTATAGTATGCCTCTACTACTATTGCTGATGGTGATATGTGTGTGTAATGATGTCCTATAAAATGTTACAATATCCTTTCTAATGTATGAACTTGAGAATTTCATGTTGATTTATTGTTTTAGTTTTTCTTGAGGGGGAGAAATAATTGTCTAAGAACAAGGGATAATGGTAGATCACTAATGTGAACAAATCATCTGCTATATGTGGTTCATCATGAAGTGTTTTGTTCATCCATGTGTGTTGGGTTTTTATAGATGGAACTCTCAGAAGTAATCCCAGTGGAGTGATCATTATATGAACTATACCTATGGCCAAGCTGGTGTTGGGACAACATCTCAGTAGTTTACGCCCACAGGAGTCAGGAGGAGCTATATTTGAAAACTCTCTAGTCCTTATGTCTATTTTCAGAAAGCCATTTACTTTGGTAGTTTTTTTAGTGAAATGATAGAGCAACACTCTTGGCCAAGTCCGATAAAGTTTTTTTTTAAGATTATGGTGAAGACTGAAGGAAGTCTCAATGTTGTTGATTCTCATAGAAAGTAATGTATTTTGGAGTGCTTAGTCTATAAATCCTAAGGATGACAACATGCATAGTATGATAAGAGGTGTAAAGGGTATGAGTGCAGACTTTTATGGACGGTGTGACTACATTGTCTCCTCATCTAGGGACATGTGAAAAATGTTCTCAAGATTATGAAATATGTCACTTCCAATATTGAAACATTTCAACGGTCAAGACTTGAAAAAGAGAGATAGATCAGATCCTTGCTCTCTCTTGAAATGAGTGGTGCACCGAAAACAAGAATGACCTTATCTTCCTTGGAAATCGTCTGCATTGACCGAATTTTGTATTACAAACAAGGCATCATTGAAATCTATAGTAACCTCCTTAATGTTTTAGTACCTCTTACTGGTCAATTTCTCTCAGGTTGTGTTGTGTTTCTCATTTGGTTCCCCCCTCTGTTTTCTCTTTTTTTGTGTGTGCTTTTTGCTCAAACTCAGATCTTGTCAATTTTGGCTAAAAAGGGGGAGAGTAGTAGGTGTTATTGAGTCTTGTTTTCATTATTGAGAGTTGTTTCTCCTTGCATGCAAGAATTAAGGGGGAGTATGACCGTCTGTCACAAGGGTTTTCTGTTCCTTTATCTTATAAGTCTTATGTTGTGGGTGTATACAGGATGTCGTTCAAGATGTTCGAACATCTTGTCTGGTCTGGTGTGTCTTCCTTCTTCTGTCACATGATCTTCTAATATATGTTTCTTCTGTCACATGGTCTTCTATCTTTGGTTATTCAAGTTAGAATTCTTCTTGGTTTCTTGAGGCTACATGAAAATTCTCCTAAGACTCTATGTCAAAAATTGGTTTTGAGTTTAAGGGGGAGTAGCTTGGTTATTCTTGAAGATGTAGTTTATCTCCTTCCTCGTGTACACCAAATGACTTCAGGATTTTCTTCCTTCATCCTAGGTGTACTGTGCAGTAATGAAAGTGCTATTCTCTGAAGTGGTACTTAACAAGTCTAGCAGGTTTTGTATTCTCGACTAGACTGTTGTGAAGATTTGTCAGACATGATGTCCTAACATATTGAGAATTTGGTATTCTCTGATTTGTTATGTTGAGTAGCTTCTATTAGTTGCTACTCTGATATTTGTTGTACTGACTTCTGATGTTGTGCCTCTGATTGTCTGTGTGATTGAGTTTCTTTTCTTGAGCTGTATGGTTGTTTATGTATGGAAGATGTACTAAGTTGTTTTAGCTAAAATAAGCCAAAGTGGAAGATTGTTAATTCTTTATTTTGTTGTGATCGCCATTATGTTTGATAAAACTAACTTAGCATAAACATGTTGGAGTAAAATGTTCTATCAACTAGAGCAACATGTTGAATGCGAGGTCCTATGTACTTTCTTTCGGCATCATAATTTTGTACAACTGGATTGTTGGATATTTTAGTTTGTTACATGTGCAAAATATTCTGTAAATAATATGCTATCCTATGTGGCGCACAATTTGAAGATTAAAAAGTTTCAAGCTGATTTCAAGGAGAATTCTTAGTTTATAATTATGGAGATAATTTAGGAAACTAATGATTGATGTCCTATCTTTGAGGAGATAATTTTGCAGTTTCTCTTTCATATCCAGTTGTGTATGTGAAGCCCAAATCCAGTCTATTGAAGGTTATAAATAAAAAGCTTTAACCCTAGTACAAGTGTGAAACTTACAGTGTATTTCTATTAGGGTTTGTGTGTTAATTGTGAGCATCTCGATTATCATCTTGATAAAAGAGTATGATTGTATTTTTGAGTTTTAAGTTCTGTCAGTCATTTCAAAGCTTTTAAGCAGTGAATGATTGTGTGTCTTTGAAGTGTGACTTTTGTTATTTTCTAAGTGCTTAGAATTGTTCACTCACTGTCATGTGATTGGAAGAGATTTGAGAATGGTCTCATATCTAAGTTAGTCATAGGTAGAAGTTAAGAAAATGTAGTGATTAAGTGAGAAGTTGTTAACGAGGGAGTTTAGCTTCAAATTGATACTATCTAGTTGATTTCGTCCATGACTTGGTAGCTTTTAGAGTAGGTGCTGTTGTACACCAAACTGGGTTAACAATCTTGTGTGTTCTTTATTTTTCAGCACTTTATTTATCTTGTTATTGTGTGTTTGTTCGGAAAAATGTGTCTCGACATCTCTTAGGACATCTGTGATATGAATACTAGAATTTCAATTATTTTTATTTTTTATTATTTATTACTCCATTTTTTTAAATTTATTTTTATCAAACTTATTAATAAAGAATAATTTTATAAAGTAACATATAATAACTTTTTTCATATAAAAATAAATTTATTTTTAAATTCGTGAGAAATGAGCAATAATTATCTATAAAAGTATGACTACATAAAATTTTAGAGCATCTCTAATTTTTAAATACAACTCTTTGGTTGAGAAGTGAAAATTGAAATTTGGATTAATAATTTTTGGAGGTAAAACGTAGAAATTGAAATTTTGTCCTTTGAATAGTGAAAAATTGAAAATCCCGCCATTTCACTTCACCTTTTGTTGCTTAAAACAAAATAAAACCTTCAAAGAATCGCAAACACAGTGGGAAAATGGGAACTCGCACAAGGAGAACCGACTCACCTTCTTCTGATAGCGAAGATGGCACCTTTACCAAAACGGCGAAAAGAGAAGGTGACACTGTTGTTCAATCGTCGTCTTCATCGCATTACGAACAGATTAGGGAACAAAGGATGAAAGAGAACGCTGAGAGAATGCAAAAACTTGGATTATTAAACCTTTCTCTTAAGCTCAAGAAACCACCGCGCACTTTCGTCAGGAAAATCGCCTCACCGACTAACCAATCAGAAAGACGCTCTTCTAGGTATTCTGGTTACAACATTTATTAGTTATTTGAGAGAAATTAAGTTTCGAAAACCCTAATATCATGGTTACCATTTAACCTAATTTATGATTATTACTTCTAATTCAAATGTGCCAATCTCATGTTCAGTGTGTTGATTTTGCATTCTTGGTCTTATTACCATGGTTGAGTTTCTGCGTTGTTTAAGTTTTGGTAGATGGTATATGATTAGTCAAACTGATTTTCTATATATGATTCATGGGTTTGCAGATTAATGACGGTACCTCCGGTTGACTATACTTTCAAGCTTCCTAAAGCTCAGTATCAAGAAAAATCATCAAGTAAGAGAAAGAAAGAGGTGGTGATTTATATAGCAGAAGGTACAAAGCCTGAGGTTTATACTGAAGAGCATGAGAAGCTTCTCGGAGATTGTGAGACTGATTGGGAATTGTTTGTGGATGGATATGATGAGGATGGAGACCGTATATATGATCCGACCAAGGGAGAGAAATGTCATCAATGCAGGTATAATGGTTTCATATCTGATTGATTTGTTCACCGTGTTCTCTGATTGATATGTGTCTTTACCTTTTAAGAGCTTGTTAGTTTCTATACATTACAATTAACTTTGAAACAAGGAATCTTATGCATGTTTTGTTTTGTTACATGCATTCTGGTTCACTAGTTTGTCATAAGAAAAAGGAAAGGGAAAATTTATTATATTATTCTAAACTTGGGTGATTATAGTTGCACATCTTCTTTACAGAATACTTTGGCACATTCAATTCGTTTTTAAGATATGACCAACTTTGATATATAAGATCATGGTTTATGTTGCTGTTTTTTCAATAAGTTGTAACATGGAATGAGAAGGTTTTGAGCCATATTCTTTAAACTTTGCTGCTATTTTTGTCACATTCTGTAGTTGCATGTTGTGTTGTTAAATGGAGGCCATGTCAAAATGGTTTGGCATTTTTTTGACAACTGCCTTAGCCGTTTATGAAGGGATGGGTGTCATGGAGGTGCCACCTTACTGGTGTGCATATAAAGTTATATGGCGAATTTTTTGCCTTGGGGTAGTGATAACATTTGTTGTTTACTTTTTAAATTGTTTTACCTTAGGTAAAACTATTTAATGCATGTGTTTTTGATTGAATACCTATAACTATTTATCTCGTTTCTAGAGTTAATGCATAAAATTCACACATCGATTCTTCCACATGTTACTTGTTTCTCTGACCCTGAAGTTTTGCTGAAATCATTTGTTTGCTTGTAGGCGCACAACTGTTAGTCAGATGACCAATTGCAATAAATGTGAATTACCCCAAGGGATGCTTTGCGGAGATTGCTTGTACACAAGGTAACATTGTTTTAGCTGAGACTCAGATTGAGAAAAGGACCTTTTTTTCTCTTCCCATTTTGCAACTTGAAAAAGAATGCAATGCCAACATGTTATTCTATTTCCTTAAGGTGTCAGCTCCACCTGAAATTTAACAATTATAGTCTTGTGTTAGCTGCTCACTCTTGATTTTAATTATAGTGATTTTCTACTATTGTATTATAGATATGGAGAAAATGTGACAGAAGCTGATTTCAATCTCAATTGGACTTGTCCTTCTTGTCGAGGAATTTGCAACTGCAATATTTGCCGTAGGAAAAATGGTTGGATGCCTACTGGCAATATATACAATAAGGTTAGTTGCTCAATTTGACATTTGTATTCTTCCCCCTAATATCTTCATTTGTATTCATGAAAAACTAACTGTAGCTCCTCATAAATGAGTACTCTATTTTCTTCACATTCTTTAAATGAATCTTCCCCCCTTCATTTTTCTTAGTTATTTGCGTTTTGTTTTGGGGGGGCAATATATGGATATTCTGGAACTGATTCTTCCTTTTCATTTGTGTATGTAAGGTGACGAAATTGGGTTTCAAATCTGTTGCTCATTATCTGATTAAGACTCGTCGCCTTGGGAAAAACATGGAAGGCTCAGATGCTGAAAATGATGTTGCTCAGGAAATGCTAGAGACCTCTCCAGATTCAACACTGACTGGACAAATTCGGACTAGGAGGGCTTTTAGAAGTTAAAAAGGTGATCAAATGAATGCAATGTACATTAAAGAATAGAAACATGTCTTAGATGGTTATTTTTCTTATTTTGTTAGATATGCATATGCATACAATCATAAGACAAGTTTTCTTATTTTCTTATTTTTGACTAAAATAGTTTGCAGCCCTATGTCCCTAGTTTCTACAACATTCTTGTGTGATAGCTCTTAAATTTTAAGCAGTTTTACTGAGCATTACTGGCTGTATGAAGAAATCTATTTATATATCTATTATCAATCTATTAAAAGTAAAATATCATTAACTTACCATAATACCCTAATTAGTAAATTTCAATTTAGTCTTAATCTAAGGGTATATTTGTAACTTTCTGAAATACTTGCACCATATTGATTTGACAATAAATATGGCTGATGTGTCACACAATGATTTTTTTTGCCACTTTTTATTTTTTTTTTAATTATTTCTAACTAACAACAATTATGCCATTTTGTTTATATTTACACGTTATAATCACATCTAATCCAAACCAAAGTTCATTCAATTTGAAATTTAAATTAAAACATTCATATTATAGCTGTTATGTACACTGGGTTTTGAAATTCTAATTATTCTACTAAACCCTAATTACGTTTTTTGTTGCAAGATTTAAATTGGCAGCACAAGATGAACAACCATCATAAATGTTGAGTTCTTGAAACGGTAAATCTATACAACCAAAGAAATCGTTTTTCCCAAAATGCAACAAATACATAATTTCATCTTCTTCCTGCGCCGTCCAATCTCTTTTCATTCTTTTCTCTTTGTTGCTACCAATTTCGTTTCGTTGTAATCTCAACCATCTAATATTTTCATCCTAACCTGTTAATTTATTTGTTTCAGACGTTCAAGCGTAAGAATGGTGGTCGCAACCAAGACCTCTGAATCTAACAACATCAATAACCAACAACACCCGTTATAGATCTATAAAAGAATTTCCTTCAAATGCAATTTTTAACGTTAATTTGATTCATACATATGTAAGTGACGAAGGTGAGTGATTGAAACATGCGATTGAAAGTTGAAATTGAAATGTAGTTTGGAATATCATATTTTATGTTGTATTCTTTTCGTTTTCAGGGTTGTCTTACTATTTCTCCTTTTCCAAAAAAAAAAGCTTAACTTGACACCTAAAAATGGGATATCTTTATCTTTAGGTTTGAGAGTTGTTAGAAGGGGATTTTTGAGCTTGCATGTGAAGAATAACACAACCATGATATTGTTTATTTTTTGCTGTTAGGTATGTTTTTTTTTATTCAGATTTTATTTCTCAATTTTTTTAATTTTTTTAATTAAAATATGAGGTTGAGTTTTGGCTTTTTTTATTTGTTTAGTCTTGGTGAATACAAAGCTAACACATATATATTTACTATTGATTCTCTAAATAGATAGAAACTTATTTCTTTTGCTTCCTCTTTCAATTTATTATTAATCTATTTCAATTTCAATTTCTCCAATCACATGTTTGATAAAAGAAGGCAGTATATTCTCATCAATTTTGTTGTTTATTTTGCTTACTATTATATTTATTTGTATCTAATTGAGATTTTTGTATTTATTTTCTTGATTTAATCGGTTCTTCTTTTGGAATATGTATGGATATGGAGGCTGATAATTGATTTCACACTTGAATCAGTAGGGGACCAATCAACAAATTGAATAACGGATTGTTTCACCGTTTAACTTTTATACATTGATACGTAAAATGAAATTATGCTGATTGCGATTTGATTTTGTCATGTGAAAATAAGTTTAATATAGTCACAATCTGTCTTAACAAGGAATTATCAAACTTTACCTCATGGTCGATTCAAGCATTTGTTTTCGAGGTTGAAGATAGAGAGGGGATTAGTGGTTCGGCTTATGGGGGTCAACAGGACATCTGTTGCACCAATGATCTTCCTAAACTCACTGTGTGCAATGATGGACCGGCCTTCTCCCATGAATTCAAATTGGCCTGAAGTTTATGGCGTGACTTTTTATCATGCCCAAGAAATAAACCGTTTGTTTTTAGTTTTAATGCTTTATAATATTATTGTTTGCAGAGTTGTCTTAGCATTTCAAGTGCCAATATTCACCATGGTCATGGCTGAGTGACCATTTGCTTTTCTAATTTCACAAACAAAAATATTGTTAAAGAAGAATTGAAGACTACCACAACAGAACCAGAGACCACTATTTTAAATCTACTTAATTGAGTCGATTTTCACATGTGATTCATCATCAAAGCCAAGTGTTAACTTATATTTTCATTCAAGTTATTTGATAGTTAACCTTATAATAGTAAATATATGTTCAATATGGTGCAGATGATTTGATTTCCCGAGCATTTGATTTCCATCTACAGCCGTAATTAAAGATTAGGAAATTGAAACCATTGAATTTTATGCTTCCACAAGGAATATCAATGGCTTTCATTGACAGGTACTGATTATATAGTAACTGTATTTTCTAAAGTAATATATTTTTAAGGGTTCAAGAGTAGCGGGTGTTGCTGAAGTTCACTACCAATTTCAGAAGAACCATAAGCAAGGCAATAATTATCTAAGATGTATAAGATAATAAAACCAACGTTGATATGCGATCATTTTCTGGTTCTATAGAAGAATGTTTTTAACCAGATTTGATTCAAATTATGTATATGTATATTATTATTGCTTTCATATTTTGTTTGTCATATCAACATTGGTTTTGGCATAATATATTTTTCTACTGCAAATTATGTTGACCTATGTTTTAATGGAATTTATTTTACACCAAATTCTGAGTTCTTTTGAATGTAGCATTGCTGGATTTCTCTTCTCCTTCTCTTCTCCTAAAGAGAAGATAATAACCTACAAGTTGGTGTTGATGTGTCTTCAAAATTCTAATTTATTTTGAATCGAAATTATAATTCTTATTTGTCATGAAATTTGAATAAATTTTTTATTTTGTATTGATATTTTTTTATTTTTAATTGCTATAATTTTAGAAACAAATATTACAATTTTTAATAAAATATTTACGATTTATTTTTTTAAAGTACGACTAATTAATATATTTTTATACAATATTAAAAACAAATATTAAAATTTTTTTAATCAAATATTAGAGTACCATTTAATTCGATACTTTACCAATATATCTTTTGAATGAAGACATTATTATCATTTATTTTTATTATACTTATATGGAAATTATTTTGAATGGTGACATAAATATATTTAATTTTTATATATGATTTGATTTCATAAAATATTATGATCAATAAAATTTGAATTCTCTTTTAATATTATAGGTTTGATACTGTTTCATATTGTAGGAATATTATATACATTAGAATATATAAAGATATGAAAAAAATTAAATCAAAACTTTACAAATATATCTTTTGAATGGAGGTATTAATATTATTTATTTTTATTATATATAAAATATTTTGAATGGTCACATTAATACATTTTATTTTTATGCATGATTTGATTTCAAAAATTTATGATTAATAAATTTTGAATGGAATTATAATTTAACCAATAAAATTTTCTACTGACTTCTAAATATATTTGTGTATATTTTTTGAAAGGTTACATTTATATTCTTGAAAAAAATAACTTAGTTTAAAGGATGTATTGTTAACTATAAATATATTGTTAATAAAATTAACAAAAAAATATATTATAAATATATAAAAGATAAAGTAAATAAGAACTCTAATGTTTATGACATACCAGATAATTGAAGTTAAAGAATTGAATGTACTGTTTTAAATGACAATTAAGTTATATTTTTAAATATAAATTAGAAAATAAATTCATCTAAAATAAATTTCATTCATTAAATAAATATAGAAAATAATATACAATAGTTTTATCTATAAATTTTATTTATTTTTTATGTTCTTTTTAAAAATAATTGTAATTTAACGGGAAACTGTTATACATTATAGGTTGTAAAAAAATATGTAAATATGATATAATATAAAAGTTTTAAAACTGAAATTTAACGGGAGATGTCATACATTTTTAATTTGAAAAAATGGATTAATATATAAAATATGTTTAATAAATTTTTAAAATTAATTCATTTGGATTCAACTGAAGTTCGTTAACTCACGTAGATGTGAGCACATATAATATAAAAGTATAAATTTAACGGGAGTTGTCATATATTTTAGGTTTGGAAAAATGGGTTGATATCTAAAATAGATTTAATAAATTTTTAGAACTAATTCATTTGGATTCAATTGGGTTTGTTAAATCATCTTAATTCACGGGTAGATGAGAACGCATCTATGAAATACTGGCTATAAATTGTTAATTTTAATATTCATCTTTTAAATCTTATATAATTGAAGTTAGTGAATAGTCTGTATGATTTATTATAAATACATATTAATTCTTAAAAAACAAGTGCATATTATTAGTCTATATTTATTAGTCATGCCTGTAAAGAACATAGATAACATCTTTTACATCCCTCGAATGTCTATGTCACATTTTGAGTCATCGTGACCATTTAAGTTGATAAGGAGAAAATTCCCAATTATTGTCTCTAACACAATGACAATTAATAAATCCCAAGGCCAATCACTTGATACCGTTGGATTGTATTTGCCTACTCCTGTTTTTAGTAATGGATAATTGTTAGTAATGGACAATTGTGTGTAGCCATTTCAAGAGTTACAAATAAAAGTTGTCTTAAAATCTTAATACATGATAATGAGAATGTATCATCTTCTATCACTATAAATGTTGTATACAATGAAATTTTTCAATTACTTTGTTAATGGGTAAGTACACGACAACACAAATGTTTTTGTTTATAAATTATTTGCATATTTGGTGTCTGATTTTTGCACAAATTATCATGCAGACTAATGAGTTGAAAACATCAATAGAAAGCAGGTTGCTTCATATCTAAAGTTCAAATACGATATTGTTATCATTAATGTTATCGATGGAAAGCAAATTAATTTGATACACTAATTTTTTTTTCTAATTGAT